TTCCGTCGAACCCAGCAAACTAGGTTCGATGACCTGAGGAAGAAGAAGAAGAAAGAAGAGGAAGAAAGGAGAGGAAGAAAAAAAAATAAAAAGAGAAAGGAAGAAGATGAATGGAATTATTTTATTTTATTTTTTAAAAATATAAATAGTAATCATGTAAGTTGGCATGAAAAAAAATTCCACGTCAATACGTTTTCAATTTGTTTTTGCCACGTCATCAAAAAAACTATAAAAAATGCCACATAAGTGAGTTAACGATCTAAATTAACAGAAGGATTAACGGAGTGCATTTCTTAAAGTTTAGGGATCCAAAAAGTGCGAAAAATTATTAAGGGACCAAAAATGTGTAACTCACTAACGTTGAGGGACCAAATTTAGCATTTAACCTTTATTTTTTCACAAAAAGTTTGACATTATCTTTTAGTTTTCTTAAGGTAATATAATTAAATACATAAATTGTTCCTAAACTCTTAATTTAGAGAAAGCATTAAAATTTACACATAAATTTTACATATTATACTCATTCACAATCTTCAACCATATTTCTCATTATTTTTAATAGTTAAAATTTATTTATTTTTATTATATTTATTAAAAATAAATATAATAAAAATAATACATAATCAATATTTTATATAAATATAATATATAAAATTTATATATAAATAAATTCCTAGTAATTTAAAGACAAAATTAGAGAAGCTCTATTATTTTGATACGGATTTGAGTATTAATTCGTTTGTATGTGACGAGTCAGTGTACCAGAGACGCAAAGACAACCTCCTCACTACGAGCAGGCAGCGGTTCTGCTGTGTTCAGAACCTTAAATGATACCTGAGACCGAAAAAACTCACTCATAGATACGAGAAACCAGTATCCAAAGCAGTTCTCTAATAATTGTACCAGAAGCGGAAATCTTCGTATGTAAACATACCGACTGTTGTATTATTCTTTGAGTAAAATGACTAAATTATATAATTTTTTATTGAAATAATCAACATATTACACTGATACACGACTATAAATGGCACAGTAATAAGGGGTGGTTAGGATCCATATATGATTCTTTCTCTTGATAATTTGGCATTGGGATGGCCGATTTTGAACTAAAAAAATAAAATGAATGGCAGGCGTGCTTTCATGTGTTAAAAAGGAGGAAAAGCTCGCCCAAGATGTTGACAATCAGAGGCTCTTAAGGCAATCTCCGTTGGTTCAATCTGATCTTGGCCGATTTGAGCCGCCTTTATGTGTGTTGTACAGGGGCAAAAGCCACCGTGACCCGCGTTTCCTTCTCCCACAACATCGCAAATATAGTATCCATACGGCCACTAGACAACTTATTGGGATTGCCCATCTGTGAGAAAGCAAGCAATTTAAGGATGACTGTAGGGAAATATTATTTTGTGATGCAGATTAGGAAGTTGTTTGTTACCTGTCCAAATCAAGGAGGGGACTGTAGACGAGAGTTTCCCAAGTACTTACGATGAAATGCCAAACTGGGTTGTAATAAAGGGACTCAGCAGACCAAAACATCCTTGTGTATGTTTCTAAGAATATAAAGAGCACCCACGCCGCCATTTCAATCAGAATGAATTTTATAATAAAGCGGCCAACCACCACCATGACGAGGGAGAATGCCACCAACCAGTTGAAGAGCCTGTGGTTGTAATCCTTGATAAATAGCGCTCGAGATTTTCCCATCATCTGCAAAATTAATGGCAGATCGAAAAATGTCTTTCAGTAGATCAGGAGCCATTTATGCTTAAGGCACTGTCTGGAAAAGGAGAGTATAGCATCTATAATGACTAACAACCGAGAAGACCATGATCCATTTCTGGACCACTTGCAAGACGAATTCCCCATTTCTAGCAAAATTTGTGAAGTTTGTGTTTAGTTATTGCTTTAGAATCAACCTTACCATAGAGAAATACCAAGTAGACAGACACAGACTACGTACTTACTACTCACATCCAAAAGGAAAAAGAAACCAATCTTCATTACGTCAACCATTAAAGTTGAATTTACTCGAATCGCAAGCCCCCTAAATAAACTGGAACTATTAAAGAAACAATTAAAGCAATAATTTTTAACAGAAAAAATGGAACAGTTAAAGAAATCTGCGGAGACCAACGACCTGTTGGTCCAAGTGAGAGGAACTTGGTTCTCCTTAAGTAAGGTCTCTTGTGAATGGAGAAATAAGCACTAAGAGAGTTTTTCTCTTTATATGATCTGACGCGATTTGATTCCGAATTAGTTGAGACTCAATGTGGTTACCAGATACCAAGAGGTTAATACCAAAAAAAAAAAAAAAACAGAAATCTGCAGAGACTATTAGTTACCTTCATCATGCGTTGCTCATAGTTTGCTTTTGAAGGCCCAACACACTCCTGCTCAAAACTTTGGTTGCATTGCAGGAAACCTGCATTGAACTTGGCCATAGAAGGAAGTTTGAGGACTTGAAGCTGGTCCATTTTGTCCTCACATCTTGTATACAGTGCTTCACAGAGCTTTGCTGATTGATACTCATTAGCAATAATTACATTCTTATACGCCTGGAAAAAAAATTTCAATGTAAACAGGCAGTAAGGGATTTGAGAAAATAGCAAATTTCGTAGTCTACAAAAATCCAACTCCATCCAGAAGCTATGCATGTTTTATGTGAGAAAGAAGCACATAGCATGTCTCTAACAACATGATAGTGAAATAATGAATAAGCAACATGATTATTTTACTCACTAACAACATGATAATGAATAAGTAACGTGATTATTAACTCCCATATATTCCATGATATACCTTTACTGTACAGGCAGTTGATCAGAGTTGCCTAGGCCTAAGTAATCCA